TCATTTTTCACCGCTGCCAAAATACCTTTATGTCTATCAGAAATTAAACAAATACCGTCTCGTTGGATAACCAATGTTCTTAAAGCACACAAAAATCCTGACCAACTAGAAGTATTTTCCTCTTCAACAATAGCAAATGCAATAGGAAACATATGCCCATTAGCGTCAACTGATGTGACTATAAGTAACTTCCCTTTATATTTGTCATACAAGTGTGTACCATCTATTTGAATTAATGGTTTATAGTATTTGAACCATTCAATTGCAGGACCAAACGACCAAAAAACACTACCAAAAATAAGATTACCAGGAGCATGCGATGATATGAGATCCCATACAACTCGAGGTCCTTGTAATGTATGGTAGCATTCAACCAATAAGGAAGTTCCTCGTATGATTTCGCCCAATCACCAACTTTAATCAATGTTTTTCTCTTAGCTTACAAAATACGTCTATAGTTCACATTATATCGAAAATATTTTTTGATAATTTCTTGCGGTGAAGCTATAGACGTACTAAGATCACGTCGTATAATAGTTTAAATTTCGTTACAGAGTAAATCTAAATCTAGTTGTGAGTGATCCTGTGTGACCTCTGAGTATAAACATGAATGAGGTTCCTCAAATATGGTGATTTCAAACATTCTGTGGGTTTTACGTTGACTAGCGTGGAGTCTCCACTTGCAACCTTCCTTCCATTGTTTGCATCTCACATACCAACTATCTTGGTCTGATGCTACCACAGTCATTTCGTAATGTTGTGCAACACAATATTTTTTTACTACAAGTTATACATCTTTTTTTGTCATAAATTTCCTACCTTTATAATATATTTGGCTTGAATCATTCTCCACAAACATTAACCCTTCCTCCAATGTTGACCCTTCTTCACATATAGAATCAATTATCACAAAATCTATTTCTGTGAAAATATCTAAAGGTATCTCTTCATTTTGGCATGGAGCATTGTTTATTGGGTCATGCATGCACAACTCCTCTCCAAACAATTCATCAACTTCTACTTCTATATCAGTATCTCGACCATTTCCAGGTTCAATTACCACAATTTCATCACAAGATAATGACATGTACAACTTGTTTTATGAGACTAGATCGTTAACCTCTAACTGTACAAAATAATTAAACACGTAATAGTACAAAAACATAATAATTATAAAAAAAAAAGACAACTAACTTCTTTTTACCACCAATAAATTACATATAATAATACAAAGCAATATTTAAAAAATATAACTTAAAAAAATCATACCAAAACAGTCCAAAATACTTAAAATCTAACAACCATTCTTAAAATAAAAATAAATAAATACACTATAATCTAAAAAATAAACAAAAAACAGCAATATTAAAAAAAAATCACAAACAAATACATTATAGTCCAAAAAAGAAATAAAAAACAGCAATACTGAAAAAAATCACACATATACATCCAAAAAAATAAAAAAAAGCAACAATAAAAAAAAAAAAGAAAAGAGAGAAGAGAAGACAAACTGACGACAGGCGGCGGTAGGGCAACGGTTGTAGGAAGGCAGGAGCGGTGGTCGGAGGGAGCAAGCCGACGGCAGCGGAGGCGGGAGAAGGCGAGTGGAGGTGGATGCTGCAGGCGGTGGCAGGCGACGGCTGCGCACGTGCTGGCGGCTAGAAGGTTGGAGAGAGAGGGAGGATTTTGAAATTTTTTAGGGTTTGTGTGGTCGAAATGGGTGGGGACGAATTTAGGACCACCTAAATCGTGTACAATGTACACGAATTATAAAATCGTGTACAATAATGTACACAAATTGCAAAATCGGGTACATTGTACACGTCTCCAGAAACTAAATCGTGTGCATCGCCCACGATTTCAAAACAAAAATTGTGTGCAACGTACACGATTTCAATAATCGTGTTCGTTACACACGATTTGAATGCACACGATTTCAAACCCTACGTCACTCCAACTATGCGCAGTTGGAGCCACGTCAGACGAAACTCGCATATAACATATGCGAGTTTCATGAACTCATGTCCATGAAAAAACATATATAAGGACATGAGTTCGCTAAATGGTGTACGTCGTACACGATTTAGCTACCCCAACTTTCGAATTAGTTTTCCGTCTACCTTATTTTTGTTTTTTATTCATATTATGAAAAAAAAATCCAAAATTTATATATGTAACAAAAAAATGATAATATATTTAAAAAACAAAAAACATATATATTTAATAAAAAAACATATATAAGGAAAAAATATATATATATTAAAAAAGAAATAATAAAAAGGAGAGAAAGTAGAAGGAAGTTGACGTGGGGCACAACAAACTATCAAGGAGGAAACCAACAAGCAATGGTACTTTTTGTTGAATCATATATATACTATATTTTATTTAATATAAATTCAGGGGCACACGTCCTCTCGTCCTCACGTGGATCCACTCATGGATATCGATGTAGATATATATTTCAAGAAACATTATTAAAAGAATTCATAACAAATATTTAAATTAGTACTTAAAAAAATATTTAAATTAACTGACTTGCTTATTTTAACAATTTCAGTGCTTTTCAAGCCATTCTCGAGTTGATAACTCTTGAGAAGTGTTAATAAATCTTCTATTTAGACCACTGTTTTCCGAGGAAATAATTATGATGCTATAAGTTGGTTACAATGAAGTATTTTTGGAAGATGGGGTGTATTATGCGGTTTAAGACATATTTGTTAAAGTATTATATTTTGTGGTTATCATAATGACTCGTGTTAAGTGAAGATGGTATGAGAAATGTTGGGAAAACAATCATGCTGTGCTGTGAGGATAGAGCGCGCCTTATATTTGGAATGCTGTAGCACTATGATTCACCAGATCTACGAATATACAATAGAAAAGGAAAGTTCTTCGTATTCTTTGGCGGCACAAATGGAGAAGATAAATAGTGAAGATTGTCTGAAAAGAACTCTAACCGGCATTCCTAGTTAAACTTTTCTCTGTTCTCTCTCCTCCAAGGCGGTGATTTTCGGCCGTCTGGGTTGGGGCTTTCGATCGGTCTTCGTGCTTCTTTTCTGGTGTGGGATGTCTTGCGGTAATCGTTTGCACTGTTGAGGCGTTGGATTT